TACCCGGACGGCACAGACGACAGCCCAAGCTGCTGCAGCTGGGAAAGAAATAAATTTTTCAATAGAAACAATTTGTTCTATTTTTCAAATGTTGAAATGGTTGCAAAGAGTAAACAATTTAGCTCCTTTAAATTTGAAGGAAACCATGTATGAGAGGCTCCCTCCAATCGTGTTAGAAGCTAAATTTAGGCACCATGCAAAAGGTTGCTTGTTTTAGATTGATAAACAAACACCCGTGTCTGACTGAATGCCATTACTCACTTAGAGGGTTTTTTTAAAGGAAAAATTGTAACCAGGTAATTGTATCATGAAACAACAATGAGATGAGTTTCATGGATCTTCTTCCGGTAAATTTATATGGGCTCCAAGCGGCAGACGGGTAGCCATGAGTAAGGCTCCTGCTGCTGACTCAGATGTGGAGCCACATTCAAATCATATGTTTGTTCAATGTTATATATTATTTTCGTAAACCAGACAAAAGACACAATAGATTTTCCCAGTTACCTGAGCAAAACAGCTCTGCCCAATTAAATTAAGCAAATGAAATGAGCCACCAAGTGGATTAACTCTATTCTTCAACTCCACATTGCAGCTGACACATAAATAAAGCCGATTTATTGTTACACATAGACGATACCCAGAAATAAACGACGCAAAAGAAAACGTAGAGATTTGATTACCAAAGTTGTTCTATAAGACAGATTCGTATTCACTCCGAACGCCAATATGACCAGAGTCGAAACTGAAACACAAATTGCTCTTTTAGAAGACATTTGGCTGCCCTAATCGACACGGTGAGTGTTGCAGATGTTGTAGCCATTTAAAAGCAACCCATGAATGTAAATTTATAGTGGTTTCCTCAAACCCTAATTCGCTGTGACGATAAAATTACTGAAATTGACGAAGATATCAGCACTTCTTGAGGGTCAATAAAGTAACTTTTGTTACTTCGTTTTTTAATTTCCAGTGCTGGATTGACAAAAGCCTATTTGATCAATTTTATACACGATGTTGAGCCCAAAACCCAATGATCGCTTAACGGGCTGTCCATGTTTAGCCCAAAAGGTCATCATTTTATTAAAATTAAATATATTTAATTTGTAAATTTATAAAAATTAAAAAATATATATTTGATTATGCGAAGAGCGGACAACCTCTTTGGAGATTAAACGACGTCGGAGCACAGACCATAACGGCATAACCGACTCCGGAAGTTTCTGCGCTGGGACTTGGGAAGATGAAAGTTTTGCTAGGAGCTAACGAGAGGCCACGCTCAGGTCTCCTCCTTTAAACGCGTAAGCACGGTCAAAGAGAGAAGACCTAATTATAACTAGAGAGAGTCCAGTAGGCTTTCTTTGACTCATCAATTAAATCTTCTTTTCTCAACTAACCCTTTGAAAACCGAAATTAAATTTCTTCGAATAATAAGAAAAGTAAAACCCTACACACCCAAATCTCGTTTCGTTTTTCTCATTGTAAATCTCGTTGATTTTCTTGTTTTTTTATTATTTCTAACTGGGATAAGGCTTGTGAATCTACACTATGGTTGCAACATCTTGCTCTGAACTTCTGTTCCAAACGAAGTTCACTGCTTCCCATCCCCATAAACTCTATCGTAAATTCTCAAGGTATCAACCTCACCAAACAGACAATTATACTGAATTTTATCAATTGATATATTTTCTTTAGCTGCTATAGCCTATATGCGATCCTTTGAGTAGTATTGACTCGGCTGATTCTAATGTGATCACCAAATATTTTGATCATCTATTTGAATTTCTTGCTTCAAAGAAGTTTTATTTTATTTGTCGCATTTTCTTTAGTATCATAAGCTTATATTTATTTTTTCTGCAACTAAAGAATGTGCTAAGTCCTCCGTTTGTTCGTTTTTCTGCTTAAAATATAACCCATTTCTTATTTTCTTAAACAATCAATATTATCAATTGTTGAGATGTAGTATCTGCGACTATGTGATTTGCAAAATCATATCGAGAAATTGCACATTAATTAGTTATATTTGTTATTTTTCGTTTTATTTTATGTTACTTGTGTGGTGAAAATATATAGTTGTTCAGAAAATTGTGAGTCATTTGTTTATAAACCCGTGTTTCTGTGGTGTTCAGTATCAGTATTTCTATTATGCTTTTTCTTTCATTTTTTTATTGTTTGGAAGGAATGTTTTCGAGATGGCTGCCAAATTTTCTGCATGTTATGATTGTTAAACCGGGTGATTTTTAGAACCTAATTAAACGCTGGACCATACAGAGTAATGGCCAATGAATATTGATATTATAAATATTGAAGTTTGTTTTGGGGTATAATTAACTTGATATTCTTTTATTAGCAGGTCATGCTCTCAGACCACGTCTCTCAGTGGATCTTCATCTCAAGCACGCACTTATCTAAGTATTGATTCAACTATTAAACGAACTGGCAATGTTGGGGGGCCGTATGTTTATGGTCCTGCTCAAAAGAGAAGTGTAGTGGGGAAAACATTTTGTGCTGTGGGAGTAAGCACATATGGAGAAAATGTTGCAGAATATCAACCTCATTTACATGCCGCAGAAGATAAGGTCGGGGTGCTTCTTCTGAATCTTGGAGGGCCAGAGACACTTCATGATGTTCAACCGTTTTTGTTCAATTTATTTGCTGATCCTGTATGTCAAATCTCTCTTTTTCAGTTCTTCTATCATTTCCTTCATTGTTATCATGCCTTTTCAACATTTGTATTTTAATACAGGACATCATACGTCTCCCTAGGCTGTTTCGGTTTCTTCAATGGCCCTTGGCAAAATTAATTTCTGTGCTACGAGCTCCAAAAAGTAAAGAAGGATATGCTGCAATAGGAGGTGGCTCACCTCTGCGGAAAATAACTGACGAGCAGGTGCAACATGTCCCCTTATCATGGCATTCTTTTTGTGTTTTATGTGTTTTTGTCGGTGTATTTGGTTTACTTCTTATGCAAAGTCAACTATATTTTTTAACCTATGCTCTTTTTCTTTCTCCAATCTGTATTTAATATTTTTTTCTTGTTTGCTTGATAATTCCATTTTTATGGTTTTAAAAACTTGTTGCAGGCACATGCACTTAAAATGGCTCTAGAAAAAAAGAACTTACCTGTAAATGTCTATGTTGGAATGCGGTATTGGTACCCATTCACAGAAGAGGCAGTTCAGCAGGTATGTTTTACCCCTTTCAGTAATGGTCTCCCATTTATGGGATACTTTTTGGCCTGGAGATGATCCACATAATTAATTTTTTTTGTATTTAACTGCTGCTGGTTGATGTCAGGGGTTTTATGGTTAAGTTTTTAAAATTTCTTAAAAGTTAAAGAGAGATAGAGTCACCTTTTTTTCATGTGTCTTTCCTTGAGATGCCTAGTTTGTTAAACTACCATGGAATTCTAGTCTTCAATTGCATATTGGATATTATGCTTTAACAGCTAAGTTAAAATAAAAAATATCGCATCCATTTTATAATTTATAAGAGTCAATTTATTTAAAACATTGTGTTACATGATACAGATTAAGAGAGACAGAATTACAAGGCTTGTTGTGCTGCCACTTTATCCACAATTCTCTATCTCTACAACTGGGTCAAGCATCCGCGTACTCCAGGGAATATTCAGGTTTTGTTTCTGTTTCAGTTTCTATTCTCTAATTTCTTGCTGTGGTAAATAAATTTGTCCTGAGTCATAAACCAAGTCTGAGCGAGAATGATATTTCAGGGAAGATGCATATCTGTCAAAGTTGCCTGTTTCTATTATTCGGTCCTGGTATCAGCGAGAAGGTTATATTAATTCCATGGCTGACTTGATTCAGAAAGAGTTAGAGAATTTCTCAAGGCCTGACGAGGTGCGTTTTAATACTTGCTCTTCTATATGGTTATCTTGAATACAAAACTGGTATATTTTAAAATTTGAAATATCTTGTTTGTGGTCATATGATGAGATTCTCTCGATATGTGGAACTATAGGTCATGATATTCTTCAGTGCCCATGGGGTACCTGTCAGTTATGTTGAGGATGCCGGTGATCCATACAAAGAACAGATGGAAGAGTGCATCTACCTAATCATGCAGAACTTGAAAGATAGAGGAATTGATAACTATCATACTTTGGCATACCAGGTTTGATTGTAAAACCCATTTCATAAGTTTTCGTTTCCATTTTATAGCCTTCTCTTAATAATGAGCACCAGCTGCTGCTGCTGTCCCACTTTCTTTATTACTGGTTTTTCATCTTCTCCCTATTATTAAGTTGGAGAACGAAAATGTTTAGTTGCTTCAGCTTTCCATTTTTTACTTGTTTCCCCTTCTTTCTTTTGGTTAGAGTCGAGTTGGGCCTGTACAATGGTTGAAGCCCTACACTGATGAAGTTCTTGTTGAGCTTGGCAAGAAAGGTGTGAAGAATCTCCTAGCTGTTCCAGTAAGGTACATGACTAGTAACTGAAATATTAATTTATTGGTTGTGTAATTTTGATATGTGCTTCAAATTGGTAGTCGACAGTTTAATTAATTGTACTCGTTACAATTTCAGCTTTGTAAGTGAGCACATAGAAACTCTTGAAGAGATCGACATGGAGTACAAGCACTTGGCCCTTGAATCTGGCATTGAAAATTGGGGACGTGTCCCTGCCCTGAACTGCACCTCTTCCTTCATCAGCGATCTAGCAGATGCAGTAATAGACGCCCTACCTTCAGCTATGGCTATGTCTAACTCAAGGAATATCTCTGACGAAGATGAGCGCGACCCTATGGAATATGCTATCAAAGTGTTCTTCGGTTCAATCTTAGCATTTGTGTTGGCTCTTTTCCCCAAAAATGGTACTAGAATTCAGGAATCATCTCCTTTGAAGGTGAAAAAAGAGTTGTAAGAGAGCAAATATTTTAAAAAGGAGTATTACAGCTGAGTTTCGTATAAGCTGCCCATTTAAAGACTAAAAGTTTAAACATGGTAACCGGTTTTTTTTTTTTTTTTTGGGGGGGTGGGCGGGCGTGTCCTGGTATAGGGTTTTAATTACTAAGATCGACCAAGAATTTTGTTTATTATACAGGAAAGGTGGTATTGGTTTTTTTGTTGTAATTAGGGAATAGATCTGATCAGTGATCAGTAAAGTTCTTATGGTTTTCTGTTTGATGTTCTCTCGTTATGTATTGATAATAGATATAGATATTTGTGCTTATCCTTTTTACCTTGTATTTTTATTACAATTTTGTATTTTTATTGCAGTGTTGATATGTCTACTTAGATTTTATTTGCGACTGCCAATCAACCAGCGGAGCTGACTGATCAAGTGATTTTGCCCCCTAATGTGGATTAATCTCTCTCATTTAACAGTATAGATAAATTTCCTTCATAGCATCCTGGGGAGTCTGGACATCATTTCGAGAAAGCTAAAAATATTCATTTGAACCCATTTCAGAACATTTAAGATTAACAGGATCGATGATTTTTCAGATTAGCTTCTTAGTAATAGAGATTACATTTTCATTTTCGAAGTAACACAACATTTTAAATGGTGTTTCAAATATCTGATTTTAAATGATGTAAACATCTCAAGATCAAAACTCAAAACCAATCCCCATGTGGAACAGAGACAATGCTCCATCCCACCAGGTAGTGCCAGCAAACTCTTCAACCAAACTGAATGAAAATAGCCAAGTAGTAAGAAGAATATACAAATATCAGACACTATCAAAATGGCAGTAGTAACAGAATGAACAAGCCGTGCATCTTATTCTGGGATCAGAAAGAAAGTTTATTGAAATAAATGAGTTGTTCCGAGTTCTCTTCATTTTCTTTTTTGTCACAGAATTAGATTATAGTATGTATGTTATGTCACGACTCACGATGACAACAATCAGAGAAGGCAAAAATTAAGATAAGTGTAATCGGTTCAACTTCTGAAGCTATTCATCTCGGTGCAGCAGTCAAACATAGTAACCAGTTATTGTAAAGCCCCGGCCTATGATCTCACCGGCACAGAACCAGGCGAAACACTCCAGCCCAAACAAAGCTGCAATACCCGCATCCTCTATCTTCAGTTCTCGCCTATTTTTCAATAAGTGCTTGGCAAAATCAAGCTCTTTCCAAAATGCTTCACAACGGCCAGGAATACTATATCACAAAACAAAATAGACATACTGGTGACATAAACAGAGAATCTGAATTATAAATCATCATCAGCAAGAATGTGCATATAAATAGACAGAAAGAAGCAGAGGAAAAGTCTATAAAAAAGCATCTGTCCAATAATGAAAAAACAACAGGCATTCAGTACATGTTTGAATGAAGTAACAGAGCAAATATGTCCAGTTTAAACCAGTAAAGAATGGATGGAGCAGAGGCTGAAAGACACCAGACAAATTGACACAATGGAAACAAACTTAAAGATGGAAGTCAAAATCAGTGAGGTTTGACAATAATATCAACATATGTGGAACATAGAAGACCAGAAACAGGCTAAAGTGAGAAACCTGCTGAGGCGAGTGTAGAACAATTGCTTAGCAAGGAGATCACATTTCTCAACAGTTGGTGGCTCCTGGATGTATTGTCTGTTCTTTTCTAATAACTGCCTGTAGTATCCAGTTCCGTGATTGGCTACAAGCTTTGAGGCCTCAGTAGCTTTGGATTGCAACTGCACTAGCTTGGTTGCCATTAATTACCCCAACTATTCATCAACCAAGAAATGTGTAAAAAAATAAAAATCTAATCCAGCAAAAAGAAGTGGCAACATTGGCTATATAAAGACAAATGAAATCCCAAAGCGTAAAATGGAAGCAAATTCAAATGAATCGAACTTTAAGGAGCCACAGATAGGTGTATTAATCAACAACCGCGAATAGAGGAACAAAATTTGCATTTACGTTTCAAGCTATGGAGCTAAGTATAATTGAAATTTATCAATCTGGTAAACGGAGTTAACTAAGTCGAAACCCTAATCAATTATCTAAGAAGACATCATCGTGAAAACATAAGCATTTTGTTGATTATACATTATGACTAGTATATATCAAAAATCAAAATACAAATGCATTATTATATAAAAGACGGCATATTCAATTACCTTTTTGCGATTTGGAAGAGAACGTAGTTGGGTTTTCTTTTTTATTTATGCTTGTCTAAAGAGTAAATCTTAGTTTCTGGGGTGGGGCTGGGTCGGTTTCCCTTTCTCTGCAGTGAACGGTTTCCACTGCACTGCAGTGCCAGCGACTAATAAAATCTCGCCATGTCAATCAATAGGAAAATCATCATTTATCTTAAAATTCTTGGAGATAAAATTATTGTAATATTCTTATATTCAGTAGTACTAGTTACTGTAGTACAAAGTTCTGATTCAATCTTCATTCAAATAATTATTTACTTTCTCAAGATATGCATGTAATATAAATGTATGGTGGTTTAAGTTGATGAACATGAACTTTCTAGTTTCTACTTTAATTGTCAACCTTCTACTCTTTCTTTATATTTAAAAATATTTAACAAAGGAAAATTTGATTTTGTTGAAAATTCAGCCATGATCACATATGTTTGCGTGCGTTTAGTTGGATGCTGCTGATCACCAAATGCTCAAACCCAGAAATTTACATTAACGTGGGCTTATTCTTATCCCTCTCAACCAAACAAAAACGTTACTTTTAAATAAAAACCCTTAATTATAACAATTTACCATGACCAAGTACGCCTAGAAGAAACCTGCAGTTGCGTATAGTTGAGATTATTTCAAAACACCATAAATAATCGAATTCAAAAAGTCGGCCAATTAATTGCATAGTTCTTCAAATCAAATATACTTTAACAACCACAGCAAGGAAATGGAAGCACGAACATGCTTTAAACAGTGAGTAAAAACTAAAAAGATTGGACAAGGAAATATAATCATCATCCTCAATATTCAACAATACCACAGAACTAGATGAAGTCTTAAACATACAACTAAATCTAACTAGACCTAAACCACTGGAATACAATAAACCGTCATCAAACATACAAGCAACAAAAACTGACAGTTGAATACCAAGTTGCCACATATGCCTGCCTAACTTTGGGGTGACTTGGATACTCCACTCTGTTGAACAGGCTGAGAAGCTGGTGCTGCACTGCCATCAGCAGAATACTGTGAGTACCCAGCAGCATAAGAGTTGTAAGATGGTGGCCCCTGACCATAACCTGGTTGACTAACTGGTGGTGCACCATATCCATACCCTTGCTGAGCAGCTGCACCATAACTGGATGGTGGGGCACGTTGAGAACCTGAATCTGGTTGAGAATAGCCAGATGCTGGTGGCTGTGAATGGGGATATCCAGGCTGAACAGGTGCTGGCTGCCCATAGCCTCCTGCAGCAGTAGGTGACTGTTGGGTCTGTCCATAAGCAGGGGGATTGGGTTTCTGTCCTTGGGGTGGCCCATAGCTGGGATACCCAGATTGAGCTGGTGCTTGATTCCCATAGCCACCCTGAGAAGTTGGAGGCACTCCATAACCTGGCTGAGCAGCTCCTTGAGGTGGATAGCTGGCAGGGTTTGGGCTAGGCTGTTGACTGGTACCATAGGCCTGCGCAGGTGGAGGTGCCTGTGTTGAATCACCTGTTCCATACGAGGGAGTATGCCCCTCTTGAGTTGAATTGGTCACATTACCATAGCCAGATGCAGAGTTGTAACCTTGTTGCTGGTCATATGATGCAGGCTGCCCATACCCTGACTGAGGCGCATGGTATCCACCATAGCCATCTTGAGAATAACCTTGTCCCTGTTGGTTATAGCCAGATGCTGCTTGCTGATTGTAATTGTAACCAGAGTTATCTGCTGGAGCTGCTGTACCACCAGGGGCTGCTGGTTGCTGAGAAGACAGTTGTTGACTATAGTAATCATAACCACTCCCCTGGGTAGTTTGCTGGGACGGTGGTACAGAGGACTGGTCCCAATTGGTAGAATATCCACCAGATGTTGATTGGGAAGGATAGCCAGCATATGGAGGCTGAGACATGTTATACTGGGGTGATGGACCAGGATATGCTCCAGGCTGCATGTAACCATACCCAGGTTGTTGCATTGGAGGAGCCCCAGGTGTGCCCCAGTTTGTAGGTGGTCGTGCTTGATAACCTTGCTGAGAATATCCTCCAGCCATTGCTGGATTTCTAAGACGATTCTGCACAAAATTGTTTTTCAAATAACCAGACTGGACATTTCAACAATGCTGAAACAGATTAACAATGTAGTAGAACATATAATGTATGTGATAAACATAAACAACTAAATATAAAGCATCTTAAAATAAGCATAAGGAAACACAGAAAAACAAATACAACCATATAGGGACTAACCGAGTTCAAAGTATATTGGGAATGGGCATAAATATAAATACCTACATACCGTACTGGTTGATGGGGTTATTGAGTTACTCCAGCAGAAGCCCATCCTCTCTCTATTATTATACAGGAAAGGTGGTATTGGTTTTTTTGTTGTAATTAGGGAATAGATCTGATCAGTGATCAGTAAAGTTCTTATGGTTTTCTGTTTGATGTTCTCTCGTTATGTATTGATAATAGATATAGATATTTGTGCTTATCCTTTTTACCTTGTATTTTTATTACAATTTTGTATTTTTATTGCAGTGTTGATATGTCTACTTAGATTTTATTTGCGACTGCCAATCAACCAGCGGAGCTGACTGATCAAGTGATTTTGCCCCCTAATGTGGATTAATCTCTCTCATTTAACAGTATAGATAAATTTCCTTCATAGCATCCTGGGGAGTCTGGACATCATTTCGAGAAAGCTAAAAATATTCATTTGAACCCATTTCAGAACATTTAAGATTAACAGGATCGATGATTTTTCAGATTAGCTTCTTAGTAATAGAGATTACATTTTCATTTTCGAAGTAACACAACATTTTAAATGGTGTTTCAAATATCTGATTTTAAATGATGTAAACATCTCAAGATCAAAACTCAAAACCAATCCCCATGTGGAACAGAGACAATGCTCCATCCCACCAGGTAGTGCCAGCAAACTCTTCAACCAAACTGAATGAAAATAGCCAAGTAGTAAGAAGAATATACAAATATCAGACACTATCAAAATGGCAGTAGTAACAGAATGAACAAGCCGTGCATCTTATTCTGGGATCAGAAAGAAAGTTTATTGAAATAAATGAGTTGTTCCGAGTTCTCTTCATTTTCTTTTTTGTCACAGAATTAGATTATAGTATGTATGTTATGTCACGACTCACGATGACAACAATCAGAGAAGGCAAAAATTAAGATAAGTGTAATCGGTTCAACTTCTGAAGCTATTCATCTCGGTGCAGCAGTCAAACATAGTAACCAGTTATTGTAAAGCCACGGCCTATGATCTCACCGGCACAGAACCAGGCGAAACACTCCAGCCCAAACAAAGCTGCAATACCCGCATCCTCTATCTTCAGTTCTCGCCTATTTTTCAATAAGTGCTTGGCAAAATCAAGCTCTTTCCAAAATGCTTCACAACGGCCAGGAATACTATATCACAAAACAAAATAGACATACTGGTGACATAAACAGAGAATCTGAATTATAAATCATCATCAGCAAGAATGTGCATATAAATAGACAGAAAGAAGCAGAGGAAAAGTATATAAAAAAGCATCTGTCCAATAATGAAAAAACAACAGGCATTCAGTACATGTTTGAATGAAGTAACAGAGAAAATATATCCAGTTTAAACCAGTAAAGAATGGATGGAGCAGAGGCTGAAAGACACCAGACAAATTGACACAATGGAAACAAACTTAAAGATGAAGTCAAAATCAGTGAGGTTTGACAATAATATCAATATATGTGGAACATAGAAGACCAGAAACAGGCTAAAGTGAGAAACCTGCTGAGGCGAGTGTAGAACAATTGCTTAGCAAGGAGATCACATTTCTCAACAGTTGGTGGCTCCTGGATGTATTGTCTGTTCTTTTCTAATAACTGCCTGTAGTATCCAGTTCCGTGATTGGCTACAAGCTTTGAGGCCTCAGTAGCTTTGGATTGCAACTGCACTAGCTTGGTTGCCATTAATTACCCCAACTATTCATCAACCAAGAAATGTGTAAAAAAATAAAAATCTAATCCAGCAAAAAGAAGTGGCAACATTGGCTATATAAAGACAAATGAAATCCCAAAGCGTAAAATGGAAGCAAATTCAAATGAATCGAACTTTAAGGAGCCACAGATAGGTGTATTAATCAACAACCGCGAATAGAGGAACAAAATTTGCATTTACGTTTCAAGCTATGGAGCTAAGTATAATTGAAATTTATCAATCTGGTAAACGGAGTTAACTAAGTCGAAACCCTAATCAATTATCTAAGAAGACATCATCGTGAAAACATAAGCATTTTGTTGATTATACATTATGACTAGTATATATCAAAAATCAAAATACAAATGCATTATTATATAAAAGACGGCATATTCAATTACCTTTTTGCGATTTGGAAGAGAACGTAGTTGGGTTTTCTTTTTTATTTATGCTTGTCTAAAGAGTAAATCTTAGTTTCTGGGGTGGGGCTGGGTCGGTTTCCCTTTCTCTGCAGTGAACGGTTTCCACTGCACTGCAGTGCCAGCGACTAATAAAATCTCGCCATGTCAATCAATAGGAAAATCATCATTTATCTTAAAATTCTTGGAGATAAAATTATTGTAATATTCTTATATTCAGTAGTACTAGTTACTGTAGTACAAAGTTCTGATTCAATCTTCATTCAAATAATTATTTACTTTCTCAAGATATGCATGTAATATAAATGTATGGTGGTTTAAGTTGATGAACATGAACTTTCTAGTTTCTACTTTAATTGTCAACCTTCTACTCTTTCTTTATATTTAAAAATATTTAACAAAGGAAAATTTGATTTTGTTGAAAATTCAGCCATGATCACATATGTTTGCGTGCGTTTAGTTGGATGCTGCTGATCACCAAATGCTCAAACCCAGAAATTTACATTAACGTGGGCTTATTCTTATCCCTCTCAACCAAACAAAAACGTTACTTTTAAATAAAAACCCTTAATTATAACAATTTACCATGACCAAGTACGCCTAGAAGAAACCTGCAGTTGCGTATAGTTGAGATTATTTCAAAACACCATAAATATTCGAATTCAAAAAGTCGGCCAATTAATTGCATAGTTCTTCAAATCAAATATACTTTAACAACCACAGCAAGGAAATGGAAGCACGAACATGCTTTAAACAGTGAGTAAAAACTAAAAAGATTGGACAAGGAAATATAATCATCATCCTCAATATTCAACAATACCACAGAACTAGATGAAGTCTTAAACATACAACTAAATCTAACTAGACCTAAACCACTGGAATACAATAAACCGTCATCAAACATACACGCAACAAAAACTGACAGTTGAATACCAAGTTGCCACATATGCCTGCCTAACTTTGGGGTGACTTGGATACTCCACTCTGTTGAACAGGCTGAGAAGCTGGTGCTGCACTGCCATCAGCAGAATACTGTGCATACCCAGCAGCATAAGAGTTGTAAGATGGTGGCCCCTGACCATAACCTGGTTGACTAACTGGTGGTGCACCATATCCATACCCTTGCTGAGCAGCTGCACCATAACTGGATGGTGGGGCACGTTGAGAACCTGAATCTGGTTGAGAATAGCCAGATGCTGGTGGCTGTGAATGGGGATATCCAGGCTGAACAGGTGCTGGCTGCCCATACCCTCCTGCAGCAGTAGGTGACTGTTGGGTCTGTCCATAAGCAGGGGGATTGGGTTTCTGTCCTTGGGGTGGCCCATAGCTGGGATACCCAGATTGAGCTGGTGCTAGATTCCCATAGCCACCCTGAGAAGTTGGAGGCACTCCATAACCTGGCTGAGCAGCTCCTTGAGGGGGATAGCTGGCAGGGTTTGGGCTAGGCTGTTGACTGGTACCATAGGCCTGCGCAGGTGGAGGTGCCTGTGTTGAATCACCTGTTCCATACGAGGGAGTATGCCCCTCTTGAGTTGAATTGGTCACATTACCATAGCCAGATGCAGAGTTGTAACCTTGTTGCTGGTCATATGATGCAGGCTGCCCATACCCTGACTGAGGCGCATGGTATCCACCATAGCCATCTTGAGAATAACCTTGTCCCTGTTGGTTATAGCCAGATGCTGCTTGCTGATTGTAATTGTAACCAGAGTTATCTGCTGGAGCTGCTGTACCACCAGGGGCTGCTGGTTGCTGAGAAGACAGTTGTTGACTATAGTAATCATAACCACTCCCCTGGGTAGTTTGCTGGGACGGTGGTACAGAGGACTGGTCCCAATTGGTAGAATATCCACCAGATGTTGATTGGGAAGGATAGCCAGCATATGGAGGCTGAGACATGTTATACTGGGGTGATGGACCAGGATATGATCCAGGCTGCATGTAACCATACCCAGGTTGTTGCATTGGAGGAGCCCCAGGTGTGCCCCAGTTTGTAGGTGGTCGTGCTTGATAACCTTGCTGAGAATATCCTCCAGCCATTGCTGGATTTCTAAGACGATTCTGCACAAAATTGTTTTTCAAATAACCAGACTGGACATTTCAACAATGCTGAAACAGATTAACAATGTAGTAGAACATATAATGTATGTGATAAACATAAACAACTAAATATAAAGCATCTTAAAATAAGCATAAGGAAACACAGAAAAACAAATACAACCATATAGGGACTAACCGAGTTCAAAGTATATTGGGAATGGGCATAAATATAAATACCTACATACCGTACTGGTTGATGGGGTTATTGAGTTACTCCAGCAGAAGCCCATCCTCTCTCTATTCGAAGTGAATGGGAAAAAAAAAAGAACCACGAGTACTATGCAAGCTTTTACATAAAAGCAAACAGAGACATAAACCCATTGCCACTGACAGGCAAAGAGTTCACAAGAATTTCATACTATACAATATCTAGCCAAAATATTCAATTGATGCATTGTATTTAACAGAAGCATCAATCTAAGCATAAAAGCATCCTAAAAGATCAATATGTATTAGACAAAGAAGACAGGATTAATAATAGCCCCATCATTAATAGAAACAAACCCAATAAGTGTCTAAATTAATAGAAACACAACATACCAAACTTAAGCACTAGTAAATGTGTAGATGCACTACAGCAATGATGTAAATGTAAACAATTCTGATTGCATCTAAGCAAGATACTATACACATATTCCTATATAAGAGAAGTGGTTGTACAGGGACTGATATAAATATTAACTCAACCACGCACACAACCAATCTACTTATACACGACAGTAGGGATGTTATTTGACAAATTTGTTTAAGATATATTATTTATGTACGGACTGAGATTAAACTTTAAATACAACTGAAAAGGGCTCATATCAAGTAAGAGATGCTTAATTGACAGAGATAACAAGTTGCAACCTTTACCAAAAGATGAGAGTGATAATTATAACGCACATGATAGTGTGCAAGAATAAAAAGATGAAGATTGATGATCTCAACTCTTCTGACAATAAGATAATGTCCAAAAGTTTACAAAATCCTTAAAGCTTCTGGTAATTTGGTGTTCAGGAACAAAGCAGCATATGGCACATAATCTTCAATTAATAACCTAAAAACCCCCTCCACAATGATGAAGCACATTAAGAACAATCATAAGGAGGAATATAAATTAAGTTCAAAATAACTTTGATTAACCACCAAAATATAATTTCATTAAAATAAAGACCTGAATATTATTTAAGTTTTCCACATCATTTCTAAACCCTGCGACTGTTAAAAGCAAAAAAACTGAGGGAAAATATAGAAAGAAAAATTCTTACATAAACAGACACTACAAAAGATATTATCCTGAAGCTCATATTCCAATATCAAAAATCCATTCCAATAACCTTGTACCTCCATCAATAGTAAACTTGCAACTTCCCTCCACAATATAAATCAGGAAATGGGATTTAGAGCCATACCAGAGCAATGCTGAGGGAACACCAACACAAAGAGATCCATGTTGGTGTGACCAAAAGTCCACTATAAACTAACCCTACAATAGTTCTCAATAACAATATCAGTCATATTATACATGATTAATAAGCATATTTGGTGGCAAAATAAGTTATAATCCCAAAATTCCATTTACTCCGGAATACAACTATAGTAATATTGGACTCAAATATGACACTAATAAACCAAGTAATCTTTCAAATAGCCACAAGAACCTAAACAGAAAATAAGTTTAAAACCTGTCTCACCATCTTAACATCCAATAATCAGCATCACACCTTAAGAGAACTAATGACAATAACAGTAAATCTTCACAAAATAATTTGGCAGTTAAAACTATTGAATTCATCTCTGTCCAATACTCAATTTCACATATCCAAAATCACAACTTTAACTGAAGCAGTATCCAAATATATGTAAATGGCCGGAATTTATAATGCTATCAAACTCCTAATTCAAAGCTAAACATCAAGAAAAATTAGATGACACCCAGAACTTTTACAACTTAACCATCAACGGAATTTTTGACACTATATAAACATCATTCTTAACCAGCTAACTATTCGTGCCAACAGAATCAGCATTAAAATAATTCTGCAGTTTTCAGGAAATTTCCAAGACCAATACAAGGAAGAAGTAGTGAAGATGATACAGATAGATCCAATCCATTAATAAGCAGGTTAAAGATATGAGAATCAGAAAACTAATCTTCTTTCCCTTTATATAAACTAATAGCTAAGTCTAGTCAATGAATGAGACATATAATCTACTTCTTTATCACATGAAAGAAATAGTGAACCGGTACAGTGACTGAGAGAACCAACTGCTGAACAAAGATAACAGAAAATTACTATGGAAAAGATAAGGCTAACATTGACAGAAGTAACAAATGGACAACAAAGAAAAAAATTAATACAATAAAAAAATATTTTAGGAAAAAGAAGTGTAGCAGAATCTTGACCCCAATAAGAATTTTATATATATATATATATATATATAGAGAGAGAGAGAGAGAGAGAGAGAGAGATCAATTAATAAACTAAGACAGAAAATCCAGAAACAGTTCCAACCCATACTTTAAACTGGACAGTAAGAAACAGTGTAACCTGCACTGACAAAAAGTTGTGATACAAACAGAACATTTGCACATGAATCCCTTTCAAATAACTATGTAATAAAGTGCACCACAAAGCAATAATTTCATTCATTAGAGAACACCTTTGGTGGAACTACTAACACTAATCTTACAATTCAAAGGTTGAATCAAATAAATAGCAAATAGAACTACAAGACTCAAATATAGCACGTAGGAGAGGACAACAAAAGAAATGAGTCACAAGTAAAAATACCAAGCTTCCCAACAATTAACAGGATCCACACACAACAAAATAAATTGATATATTCAATTCATAATGCATCTCATTTTTTTTGTTGGCAGGAACTAACCAGGTGCAGACACCATGCATGCAATAGAGTAAAAGAGCCTTAATCTGCAAATTAACACAACCACATAGCATACCTCACTGATGACTTCATTAACCAATTGTTTTGCACTTTCAATCTGTTCACTAGACCCATCTATCTGTACCGTCCTTTCTGTTGATGTATCGCCAGGGGGCAGATGCAGAGGTATCACCTGCCAGAAAATAAAAAACAAATGAAATATAAAATTATTTTATTCGTAATTGTTTCACCCCAAGCACAAGATAAACAGTATAGTAAGACAACAATTATCATTTGAGAACAGACCTGAATACGAGCCCCAGTCCTGGCTTGCATATTTTTGATAGTTTCACCTCCTTTACCAATTACTAGGCCAACCTGCAATCAGGTACACCATTGGCAAAAATCTCATATCGGTAAAACAAGCTAACAAACACAAACTTCTGATTACCTTGTTGTTTGGAATTCTCATCACAAAACTGTCCGATCCAGCCTGTCCAGTCAGCCTCCGAGCAACTATACCAGATCCCCCTGTTTCAGCCTGTTCCAAACTTAAGACATCAGAATGGAGTAATTGAAAGATGAATGACATCACATAGCAGCAATGTTCCGAAAACCGGTTCCCAGGAGATTGCTTAATTTGTTAGTTAAATATAAAATTATATATATATATATATGATTTCAACTTCATTTCTTTATTTGGAATGATAAAATTTGTTAAGAAGCCTTTTGAAATTTTTGCTAAGAAAGGCCACCTCTCGATCGAAGGACGGCAATGAGCAAAGACAATTGAATGTAGATTGCATTTATTGACCCTAGAACGACTGAATTAGGCTTTAGGAATCGAAAAATCGAGCTGATATTTTTCAATTTCATTGACCCGGTTGGGGCCACAAACTGATCGGACCGCCGGTTTGCTACTGTTTATCCAGTCCGATTGCTGTTTAAGCCGGGTTAACTGTCCAAGGCGGGTTTATATTTGATTCAGACCAGTAAAAGCTCTGGTTCCCGATTCGACCGGTTGAACTGGCCGGTCCAGTCCAGGTTTCAGAACATTGCATAGCAGTACTCAGGGATAATATATACAAAACCTATACAAAAGACACTACATTCTCTATCATTCCCAATCTAGAATAATGCAACTGTAAAGACATACATGATCTACAAATAAATTTTAAAGATGCAATTGAAAAATGCCTTAAGTAGAAGCACCAATAACAAAAGCAGAGGGTGGATGATTAAAGCAAGAATGTTGGTCCTACCTCAGCAAGAACATCATTAATAAGCTGTTCTGCCTTAGCAATTTGTTCTGGAGTACCCATAAGCTCCACCATCCTACATGGAGAATTGAGGTCTGCCTCTGTGTCTCGAGTTACTTGAATCTTTGCTCCCGACTGAAGTTGAAGGTATTTGATTGTCTCTCCACCTTTGCCAATGATTACACCAACCCTGATATTTGGTATCTCGATCTTTTTACTTGTTCCGATTCCACCCTGGAAGCCACCATACGAAACGGGTATGGCTGAAGGCACTGGACTTGGCTTGACATCTAGTTTCGTATATTTTCAAATAAAGATCCACAAACAAAGTCTTCATATCAGCAAGAAAGAAATGGACATAACATTCAGAAGTTCAAGTTCCCGATCAAAAATTAAAGCACATAAATCATATACGTTTTGAAAAAGGCATAACAAAAAGAAACCCTAAAACAATCCCTTAAACCCAAAATTAAAGGCAGCCTCTCATCACAACGCACAAGACTAACAAAAACCCTAAGCAAACCTAAATCCAAACTGGTGAGCAGCAGCCAGAAAGAGCCGCATCTATAAGGTGTTAAGAAAACTATAATAAAGAAAAATATCAAAGAATATAAAACAAAGTAAAAGATTTAAAGTAAAGAGTGAAAGAATGTTTGTATACCGCTGGGAGGGGAGCTGAAGCCCTTATCGGCCGAATCGAAGGCGCCAGAGCCGTTCTCCACGCGAGGGCGTTTGGCATCTGCGGGAGCAGAGTTGAGGAGTCTAGCTGCGATCTGCTCAGCGCGCCGCTTAGCCGCCTGGAAATCATCTACAGGAGGCGGCACGTTGTTGTAGGATGCAGGCGCTGCAGAATCCGGAGCTGGTATCGGAGGTCCAGAGGAAAAGCCTGTGGGCCTACGCGCACCGGATGAAGGCGGCGTCGTTTGGTCGTCGTACTTGCGTTTATTGGGCGTTGTGTCTGATGAGTATTGAGGTTCGTCTGCCATCGTTAGTAACTGAGTGAAGAGAAGAGAAACCCTAGAGAATTGAGTGTTTAGATGCGTGCGATATAATAACCCTCGTTTTTATATAGAGTGAATAGATAGCTTCGTGATATTTTTATTGGACTCACCTTATATGATAGTACAAGATAGTTTTCCCGATTCTGTACGGGAAGAGCGGTCTACAGTTTTGGTAGACAGCTAAGCAATTTTTTTTTTTTTTTTATCTTTTTTGAAAGTTGGAAAGGTTCGAGAAAATATGATTATAATTTATTAGTGAGGCCGAACGGGTTACACCTACCCAAGGTTTGGCAAAACCACGAGTGATACTCAAAAAGTTTGAAAATAACAAATAAGTATATTTTGTCATATTAGTAATTTTTATTTGCTAATGGTGAAAAGATTAGAATGCTTTTGGGAAAATATTAGTCTATTTTTTAATTACTTTTAGACCCTTTAAGTTTATTAAATTCATTAAATACCTCTAAAAAAAAGTTTAAAAATTAACAAAAATACCCCTATCCACCCATACTTATCAGATTCCTGCAGCCACTATCGGTGGTAGCCAGAATCTGTCACAACGATCTACAGCACCACCGAAAATTGTCAGTAATTTACCGATATGACATTTTCTGACCAGATCCGCAATGGATCTGACCGAAAAAGGCCAGATATGGTCGAAAAGTGACGGTCAAAGAGATGGCCGTCGTTGACTGTCAACGACGACCAAATCTTTGGTCGTCGCTGACGGCCAAAGATGGAGTGTTGCAGCCGTCGACGGCCAGATCTGGCCGAAAAATGTCAGATCGACGCGTTACGACATAGATCCAACGGGTCTGTGTCGTAATGCAATTTTCCGGCCAAATTCTGACGATAGTGGCTGGAATCTGTCAATGCGGGTGGTGAGGGTGTTTTGTCATTTTACAAAAATTTTATATATTCGGGTGTTTAGTTAAATTAGCAAACCTAGAGGGGTTTTTAAAAAACTAAAATATCAAACTTTCAAGGGCATTCTAGTCTTTTCATCATCAGCAAACGGAAATCACTAACGGCACATGAAGGAAGGTATCTGTTTGTCATTTTTAAACCTTTTAGGTATCAATCATCGTTTTGTCAAACCTTGGGTATGTGTAAATCGTTTCCCCTGTTAGTAAAACCGTAAACTGCCATTTGGTATTCAGGGACGTAGCATTAGCATAGAGCTCAGAAAACTGTAAAAATTTATAAAACGTCTACAATGAAATCAAGACCTGAAAAAGAGTTTTCCAGCAAGCTCTTTTCTCCCTTTTTCGTTATTAACCAAGGAACAAAGAAAGTAATTTCACTGCTCTAATTAGATAAAAATCCAGCCTCAGACTCCACCAAAGAGCGGTGAAGTCTACAAGTTATGCGCCAGTTACATATATCGCTGTCCTAGAACTAAAAATCAAAACCAGCGAATACTGAAAAACTATTTGCATTAACTATAAGTACAGTTACACAGACACTCAATCTTATTGCATCAAGTTAAACCAAAACCATAAGCATCTTCTAACAATTACATAAAGGGTTCGTTTGGATAGGGGGTATATAAGATAAAGAAGATAATTTTCGTTTATTTTGCAAGATTATGATGTTTGGTTTGCAAATAATAAAATATTACGGTAATCTTTTATTATAAATAGTGTTTACTGTTAGTAATGTGGAAGGTAATCTTATTACCTTGCTAGGAGATGTTATTAAAACATTACCGGGGTAATCTAATTTTTCTACCCATTTTACCCTTAATTACAAACCATTTCGAACACAATTGCCCTCAATGTCTGTCAAATAACAATTACCCAGTCTCCCTACATTTGAGAAATTAGCTAAAGCACCACAGCCACAAAAATGTTTAAAAGTTAACAAAATACCCCCAACTATCCAAGACCACCGCCGACGTCAATCACAGTAATGGTGCACGACCGGCAGGATTTAGCCAGTTGTGCACCGGTAAGGCTTTTTCCGGCCATGAATCCAGCTTCTATGGCCATGACATTTCACGGCCAAATCTTTGGCTGTGAAATGGCCATAGATTTGGCTGCTTTCAGGGGCGGATTCAGCCCCAGGCCTACCCTCATATTTGAAAAAAAAAATTATTAATATACAGGCCATAAAAAATTGGTAATTAACATATATACCCAAATCCACTTTTAGATTTTTAAAAAATAAGAACTATTATACATACTGTATATCTAGGTCTACAAAAAAAACTTGTTATTAATATGTATATATTCCAAGCCCACATCAGATTAAAAGTTTAAAACTCTTTCCAGTGTTTTTCTACATAGCTTTATCTGTTTTTTATGATTTTATCCACAAATTCTTTACTGTCTCTCTCTCTTTCTCAAGTTATTCTCTCTTAAAAATATTGAAGACTAAAATTGTTAAATTTTCACTACTCAAGGTGTCATAATTAGCTCCGTTTTCTGTTTTATAGATTTTAGGTATGTATATTGTTCATTTCAATTTAATTTATTTAAGGATTGAATCATTTTTTTTCTTTTTGAGGTTTTTTATTCTAGTTTGAGAGAAAAGGATATCAGTCTTGTGAGTTTATTTTGTATTTTCTGTCTAAGAATGTACCTACTTTCTCAAATTAAAACTTTAACTATATTTTAAAGGACGTTATTCTTCACCCTTCACCCACCACTTTCCTACATTTTAAACGTCACCGTTCAGTTATTCAAAATTATTAAAGAAATTTAAGTTATTATCTATGTTTATTCTAAAAAAAATTCCCCTCTTTTATTCATTCATATTAAAAGTCAACGTAACGTTGACTTGATTTAAGTTTTGGTTAACTTTAACTTAATTAGGCTCGGTTTGATCTATGCTATAAAAATTTATATTATAATATTTGAAAGCCAAAAATAAAAATATTAAAAGAAGGTTTTGTTCAAGGTTTACTCAACACTTTTACTCAAAATTTTGCTTCTTATAGATTTATTCAAGTAAGAAAATATTGTGTTAATGTATATTCTTTTTTCTCAGGTTCTTAATATTGTATTATTTTTTTTATTAAGATTTGGTGATTTTTTAAAGTTTTCACTAATTATTTGGCAAATAATGGCCAAGCCGCGGAAGCCCCCCCTCAACAAAAATCATGAATCCGCCACTGGCTGCTTTTTGGCTATGGATTTGTGATCCATAGCCATTTCCGGCTTTGCCAGAGCACGATTGGCCATATACGACCAATCGTGCGCCATTTCGTTGATTGTCGATGGTGGCCGACAGTTATGGCTGGCTAGCGACAGTGACTTGGTATGGGTGGGGATGATTTTGCTATAAATTAAAATTTTATATGATTAGGTTGTTTTCGCAAAATTTTAAATGTAGGGGGTTAAAAAAATTATTCAAAAAATAATAATAAAAGATAGTATTATATTGATATTTAAAAAGAAAGACAATTTAGTAATTTATATAAGATATTCGCCCGTTCATCCTTCCAACCAAACATATTATTCACTAATTTATTCGAATCAAATATTCTCCTATAATAAAACATCATATGGTCTAAACGCCCCAAATAAATAAATAACAAACAAAGGAAATTTGAAGCCTGTCAAATAATTTTTACAGAGACTGAAGCCACTGCATACAACAAAAGGTCCAACTCATTAATTATTGGTGTAATACCACAAAAGGTCTTCCTGGATGATTGATGTATATTCAAAAACAGCTAAACATATCTCTCCCTTCACATGACATTGCACCAGTGCACAGATAAAATAGTTGGATTTATTATTCCATTAAGTGTAGTAGCAAAACTACCAAGAAGCAACTTCAGATATCCTCATTTGGTCCACCAATGGTAAAAATCCTTGCGTCGGTTGATCTTCTTCTGCAGCTGGAGAATGCCATAGAGTAGTGCCTCAGCAGTGGGAGGGCAACCTGGAACGTAAATGTCCACAGGGACAATCCTATCACAACCCCTAACAACAGAGTAAGAGTAATGGTAGTACCCACCACCATTTGCACAGCTTCCCATTGAGATGACCCACCTAGGTTCCGGCATTTGGTCATAGACCCTGCAAGAAATTCAAATGAACTTAGCCATCTTTAACTATATATGTTCACAACATTGAGAAAGTTAATATACAAAAAGCTTGGATCTTTACTACGTGCATTTTGGAGAAGGTTTCAAATTCAGTGGAAAAAAAAATTTCAACAAAAATAAGTACTAAGAATCTAACACATCATCCTAAAGTAACAGACACCAAAATAAAAATATGTTGCAGAAAAGATTGTCACCACCAGCAAGACAATATATGAAAAAACTATTAAAGAAAAGTCGACACACGCTATAGTCAGTCATATAATCGACAAGAAGCGTGGATAACGGCACAAGTGTGTAAGTGTGTTTGTTTGCACTACTGGATACAGAAAAACTGATACATATTAGTGATTGATGGAACACCCAAATAGCAAACCACTTTGCACATGGTTTCTCCACAGCCCAACTCTTAAGTATGCCATTTCTCCCCTTCTTTCATTTTTTATAATAAAATTCCTCAGAAATCCACATTTAAGCTTCTTCACCATATCCCTGCTATCAACAACCATGCAAATCAAATATAGCCCAAAGCCTGTATTCTACATGAGCTTGTGCAAACGGACCGACCCCCTAAAATTTGAAAATGCATTAAAAGCCCCTTAAAATTGCTACATACTTGCATTGTGCCTCCCTTAAAAAACTAATTCCCTCCCTTACTAGTTTTTTCCACACATTTTAATAAAAAATATATTCTTAACTTCAATAACTTCTTTTTATATTATACATTCATTAGTTTATTTTATTAAACTACTATGATAATATAAATAATTCTAGTAAAATAGTTTTAATGAACCCACCCTTACCTGATATTAGTTATTGCAATCTCAAAAGTTACTAGTGAAAAAAAAAATTGAAGAATTTGAGTTTTTTAGCATAAATTCTTTAATAAGGTGTTTTGATAGCATTGATAAGAATGAATCAAGTCATATGCAATGCTATTTAAGTATTAAATTTTAATGTTGCCCCCTCCCGCATAATTTTTTGGGTCTGCCACTGTGCAAACCCAACTTGATTTCTCAAGGTTTGCCAAACAAACAGGGAATTGTAATTATGCATCATAAACTAAAATTCTCAGTAATAAACTGAAAAATGTTCCTATGAACAGCTTTAGCTTCTAGTGTAATCAAACACTCAAAACTAATTCACCAGTCAATAAAGCTCTCTTCAGAGACTCATAAAAACCAGTTGACCCCATGTGTTCTTCTTGTAATTCTGAAACATGTAATCTAACGTCTACAATACTCGGTTGCTTATACGTAAGTACTACTGTACTACCAACATCTTTGTCTACATCTCCAAGAAAAAAATTAGGAACACGGGAGCCTCACATACAAAATCGAACAGCTTCATATATTCAATCTTACAAACAACCATTACCCATGAAAGATTTAATGCCTTTTGCAACCAGAGCCCAGCATCCACATTAAAGCTGAACCCCACCCCCTTACCTCAGCTAAATAAAAACAAGTTTCATCAGCCACTAACCCTAACAATAACACACTACAAAATTCTACTAATATCAATCTAAGTCCGTCCAAAAGCAAAAGATATGAAACAACAAAAAACTTGAGATTTAAAATTCATCTCCACGATTCTAAAACAACAATAGGAATAAATTAAAGCATCTTATGTACTAATCTTCCAAAATTTTATAAAGCGAAAACACAGACAAGAGAAATCTGACATTTCGACCAATTATTAACAAGAAACCCTAAGAAGAGAGGGGAAAGATAAATACTTGCGAAGAGCAGGGGCCATCTTATTGGTGAGAGTGCCAGCGACGATCATACAATCGGACTGTCGAGGGCTGGGCCTGAAAATGACACCGAAACGGTCCAGATCATAACGAGCGGCTCCTGTGTGCATCATCTCCACGGCGCAGCAGGCGAGCCCGAAGGTCATGGGCCAGATAGAGCCACGGCGCACATAGTTGATGACATCATCAACTTTAGAGATGACGTATTCGGCCGTCTTGGATAAGGCAGGGGGCTGGGCAGAGGGCGAGGGCGAGAGAGGTGAAGGATGAGAGTACGAGGCGGGTGAGGGGGAAGGTGAAAGAGAGGGGAGAGTGGTGTGGAGAGAAGCGGCGCGTTGAGAGAGGAGGTAAGGGAGGCGGGTGGCGGTGTTTCTGGAGATCATAGCCATGGTTGATTCTGTTGAGAAAGAGAGAGGAATTCGGCGCCTGAACAGATTTGAGGAGGCGGGCAGTTGCTCTCCGTTAATAAAGAGACTGTTGGGAGCAATTTAATGCGAAGTCACTAATACTTGAGAACCGAGGGGTAATACTAAGTAAATACTAAATATGTCCAACCCAAAAAAAAAAAAAAAAGCATTTAAAAGATTCATCTCCATTTCCCATTTCATGGGTTTCTCTTTCGCCATTGAATTCAACGTAAGAATGATTAATATTACATATTCAAGCCTAAATCATGAGTGATACGATAAAAACTTTTAAGCATATTATTAAAAATATACTTAATTTAAATCTTTCTTTGATTATTAATAAGAATGTTCACTAAAACTCTTATTACCTGACCAAGAGTTCCAAGATCCTAGGTTAGTTGAGGATTGATTAATTGAGATACTCTGTAAGCTAATCCAAACACCTTCGCGTCATCAATAAAAAAATTACATATCAAATATATATTCCAAAATTATCATCTTATTTAACATATAGAATTATTGAGAAAAAATATTCAAAATGATTTTTATGATGTAAGATTGTTCGCAATATCTTGGGAGTTTTTACTTTTACATGAATCTAATATCTCTAACAATTGGGTTGAAAAGATATAAAATCGGCCTGCCAAGGTAACCAAAGAACAAAGTTAACCACCAAAATATGTGCAAGAGGAAAAAAAAAATGGTTAGAATTTAAATAACAATAATGATGATAAAATTTCACAAGCCTAGAATTTCTGAGTTCAAATGATACAAGATTGAAGGCCATGATATCAATGAGAATTGACGCACAATAACAACTCCTTTTCCCGAGTTCCAGGTTAAGACCTAGCAGCACCGTAGCAGTATTTTATAATGGCTCTGTTTCCTTGTGGGAAGAAGCTACCAATACCATCACATTTTCTTTGACCTAAATAAAACACATTTTAAGGACAATTCTTCTACCTTTCCTTACAAAAGAATATAATCAGTGGGTATAGCGTTCCTGCAAGTAGAAGTTTTTTAACTTTTCTCTTTTAATTCATTCTCTGGTGTTGGATGATATCATTTAAATTATAATATATTGCCAGAAGCCAGAAGTCTGATAAGAGTGTGCAACTTCCACATCACTGGTTCAGGAAAGAAGTGAAGCAGCTTCACCAGAAGCAAACACAAAAGCCTTTGCCATCATCATCTTCCCAGACCAACCTTATGCATAATACATGTAAAGGCTGTTCGAAGCGGCACAGGCAATTGAGTTTTCAGATGGATGCCAAGCTAAGTGTAGCAACTTCATGTTGAAATCATAAGCATTTCCACTTGCATCAACTCCAGAGTTATCCACACCTTTTACTATGACAAGAGGAAACATGCAAACACACAAGTTAAATACGTGTATTAAACCATGCAAACTAACAGAAAATAATAGATCACTTTCCTGGGCCCAGAATTGTTCAAACCAGAATGTTTATCGCATAATAATCAAGTATTGATTTTATGAGAAGAAAGTGAACTCAAAATTAACTGGTTAACCAGAAAATATCACGAGTAAATCATGGACTGATACCATACAGACTCAACTAGTTAAGTTATTATTACCAAATCCTAAATATTCAAAATAATATTGAACTGAAACTTGTAGATAAAACACAAATTTCAGATAAGAAAATTAGAGAAAACAAAATTCACCCAACAGATAAAAATTTTGAGACTTCGAATTACAAGGCACATAAGAAGTCAATTGTGAGCAAACATACCCCTCCTGACAACACCAGAAAGAGAAGCCAGAGGTCTAGTAGGCCTTGATGGAGTTTGAACTTGTTTCCTGGAAATACATAACATAAATAAATTACATTCGAATGGAAGCAATATAGTCAATACAACTATTTCTCACAATCAACATGACCCTTTTCACTGTGACAAAACTTAATAAACTAGAGAAAGTATCAAGAAATCCACTTCCACATCACACATTTAGTAAAAACACAACCAGTAGCCTTCTATATTTTCATTGAGCATACCTCATGGGATTTTTGCTGGCTTCCAAAGTTGCTGTTTCTGTGCTGCCTTCAGAACAACCAAACACACGAAACAGGTTGCTGGAATCACATGAAAGAATGGCATTACACATCCGGGTGCAAGCATTATGATGAAGGAATGCGATCATAACAAAGACAATTCAATTATTTAAAGCAGACCTGTAGGAACCAGTAGCCACTCGAAGTCCATCTCCGCTTAGACAACACTCGAATTTGTCGAAGATAGAGTCATTTTCATATAAATCACAGAGCTGCACAAGGTCCCAGAAAAAAGAAAAAAAGTTCACAAAATGTAGTACAATCCATCAAAAATATACATGGCAATTTACAAGTGAGGAAGTGATGAAAGAGAAGTGGAGAAGTGAAGTTTAATCTATCTTTGAAAGTTCAAACATCCAGATAAATTAAGAGAATGATGATGATAAGATGTGTTCCCCATTGCTATTCATATTTTAAGGAATACATCTGAAAACTAAAGAACACAATGGTTGATTTTGTTCCATTTCAAATCTTGTGAAAGGTAGAGATTGGAAAAGTGAGGCCAGAGAAGTCACTTTTCTTCCCTTCATTTCACTTTTTTTTAATTTAGGTATCCAAACAACTCTTCTTAGCGTCACTTCTCTACTCAGTTCTCTCAATCCAAGCACACTGAAAACGCTATCAAAAGCCACAAGTAGCTTGTTGAAAGAAAATCTCACCTTAGGTCTTAGATATTCATGAACCGGGAAAGTCGCAACAGGACCAGAATCCATAGTTATATCCCACAACTGTCAACCATGTAGCTAAAAAATCGTTAGAGAATGCAATAATCACAATATACAAAGAAATATATCATAACCAAACTGCCTCTAAACATGTAGGTAAATAATATGTATGGTGTCATCTAAATGCACTATTGTTCTTCCAAAGTAGGTGTTCCCACCCCCAACCACAAATACAAGTCTATCCTTCATATTGAAAACACAAAATTACTTCTAGATACAATGCGACCACAAAAGGTTTCATTGGAACAGATACTTTAATTGACATCACACATAAACCTTAAGAGTCATATAGTCACGACTTAGTATATGTTTTCCATCCTTAGCAAACTTAATATCTGAGATTGAGGCTATTATCTCCGTGAAAAAAGATCTTGAACCAGGAGCTTCCTGTTCCTCAAACCTGCTTACCAAAAAGCTTATTAGAATTTAGAACAATAAAGTTTAAAGAAGATATTGAAATGAAAGCAAATCAAATAAGTATCGAAAGCTATACTGACAGTCACAAAAGTAATTGGATCATGAGCACTAATGAGAAATAGTCACTTACAATTTGCTATGAGTATCACATAAAGCTGACTGTCGCATATCAATAAGACGAATTGAACCCTTTGAACTACTATACGCTAACATATTACAATGGGTGGGATGAAACTCCGCAGAAGTTATCACCTCTGAGAATATGAATTCAAACATATTAATATATCATAGCGATAAAATTACAAGTCTATTTTGCTATTCAAATTGCTGAGAGTCCCACCAGTTAGATCTTCCATGTTCACAGGTTTCACATCTACAATATTAAAACTTTGGTTGCTAATTTCCAAGTTCCAGAGATTTATTCGCAGGTCATCGGCTGATATAAAAGTTTCACCATCACTACAAAACCAAAGCAAAAGTAACAGTCAATAATTAGTAAAATTCAAAAACGTGATAGCAAAACAAAAAGGTAGAGCCTACAAGCACAAAGGAAAGTGACTTCACCTGTTATTTGAAATAGAGTTAATATGATAGTCATGGGCATGGGCATATATTCTTCGACATCCAGCCACAAGGCTTGTCTCCTGATTGGTAACCTAAATAGCAAATTTAACAACCTGTTAGAGCTACAAATAAGCAATATCATACCAAGTTGTCAAATCATTCATCATGCTAGTTCATAAGCCAGACAAGAATAACATACTTGGTAGCTTCAGAAAATAATGATTTCTAACATTAAATTGATGCCAGAAAATAATTAGATAGATAGAGTACAACTACCACAGGCAGGTGCAGAGATGAAACACCCCCAGGTGGAAATAAAAAGTCATTGCCCGAACTACCAAAGGGTCTCTCTCTGTATCCACCATTTGCAATATAAGGTTTGGGGACTGCTGATGTACTTGAACCTACCATTGGACCATTTCCTGAAGCTTTGTCAGGGTATACATTCAAATCACATACTTTCTTGACTTTCTTTTCTTGGACCTGTCCAAGAATAAAAGCAGACACATCAATAACACCAGCTGGCTTAAAGAGTTTTCATTTATATATTAAAAAACCGTAAATAGTTTCCATGCCTAAAATACTCCAATACTCCCTAGTCATTACAATGTAAAGAAAAAAGGCTACTGACACAAGATACATGTTCATTTACTGTAATGTATAAATTCTAGAAGCTGAGTTCCAAGTTGTTCCATTACATTCATAGAGATTGAAAGCTTGAGAGCTAGAAAAGGTCCATTTCCATGAATTTCCCTACCTTCCATAATTTAATGGTCTTGTCATTAGTAGACAGAAGATACAGGGCACTGTTGGCTGACTGGCACCATCTAATTTTGTTGATTTTCTCCTCAATTTCCAAACTTTTTAGATAGTCAAACTGAATCAAGGAGATTAAAAAAAAGCAAGTTAATTTAAAAACAATACACTCCAACAACTAGCCAATAACTAAACTCAACAAATCTAACAAGAATTCATAATGCTAACTAAGAAAACTACCTCAGGTTCATGGCTTTGGAACTCTGTTTTATACCGGAACTCAGGATGTCTACTGATTGAATAATCCATCATCTCTAGATCCTTCCGATTCCCACCATGCTGAGTTTACAACATAAAATCAGATTAAAAAACAGTTTGGCAACTAAACGTTATGGGAAATGTGAAAAACGAAACAGCATAAATGACATAAAAAGTCAGCAATCAACAGACTTACATCCCGTGTGTCAGTTCTTTCAAATAAAACCACTCGGCCCCCACGATCTCCAGTAGCAAGATGGTCACCAGTTCCATCAAACTCAATAGCGGATATGATATCAACTGCAAATATAAAATCCAGCAGCAGAGGAAAAAACATATGAATGGGAGAAACATGCAGAAAACCTAATTTACAACTAGTAGTACAGAAATCCCTCCATTCCCACTCCCCGAACCCCGTTCTCCAAAATATATAAAACATGGCTACCATGTTACCATGACCAGTCTGTTTGACAATTTGATCAGTTCGTTTAAGGCTCTAGACTCAACCCAATGTGACTCCTTTTATTGCTCGAATTATTTGAGTTTTCAACAACTTGGGATCAACAAGATGGCAAAATACCAAACCAAATTTGTGCTCTACCAAGTTTATGCTCTAACTAGTTGCTACTGACTTGGTGGATTAACCTCAAATGGTTTGATGTCTTATGTAAGGGCAATAACTTTGTTTTAATGTACTCAAGACCCCTCTTGTATGGCATAACAAAATCAAAACATAGCAGAATCAATCCTAACTATCCACATTCACAAACTCAAAGGAATTAATTGTCCGTGCACTAATGAAAGCCACGATCATTTCTACTTGCAAGGCAGTGAGATTTTCTAAGTAACAGTGTATCTAAACATGCATCATTTGATCCTCCACTATGGATATAAAATTCATCTCTTATCCCTTGTTTGCCATAACAATTTGGACAGCAAGTGTCACAATTACCAATCCTTCAACAAGCTTGTTGAACAACCAAATATGCAAAAGTAGCCGACAGAGCCAAAAATAAAACTTAAGGTCTCATACAGACAACCCATGTATAAGTTATAAAAACATCAGAATTGTGCTGCTAGTAATCTTAAAATGAAACATTCGCGAGGTGATTTGTTATAGTTAAAAAAAAAAAAAATAAAAAAAAAAAAAATAAACAAACATAAATACAGTTCAACTACTAACTTCAGCTATAATTCTCCCACGATATTAAATGACACTTGGAAGAGCTAGGAGCTGATCGACTCTCACAATATTAAAGAATGTAGACTCAAATTTACCATCACTTTAAAAGCCAAAGTAACTACCAAATCCAATCCTCATACAATAGATCTCTCAATACGTATCTGAAATAGCGAATCGTCAAAATAACTAAACAACAATAGATACAAAGAGCAGCATGAGAAATCAAAGTTTGTACCTTCCTGTACTTCCTCTCCTGCAGTCCGTTCCCCAAAAACCTGAGAAAATTTCCACTCAAGCGGCGGAGACAAGCCTTCTGAAACGCCACCGTTGTTCATTTTTTATTTTTACCAAACTGACAAAAATAAAATAAAATTACAAAACACAATTTAATACATCGACAGAATCGATCTGACACTAGGAAAATCGCATCAGCGATTTAAATCAATCTCCATTGAAGAAAGCAAGGTATCGATTGACGATTAATCAATCGTAATAACATCAAGTGAAGATAAGGCAGATTGATTTGACACACTCGTGTGCACACACTCTCTCTAGTTTCTCTCTCCAAAAAAAAAAAATCAATGAGATTTCAATTTCTCTCTCCAGGAAATGAAAAAAATGGATGAGATTCTACACAGATACGGGAAAGAGCAGACAAGGATTGAACGTCGATTGAGATTTTCACATACACTCTTATTCTTTCTTTCTCTCTGATAGTAATTTCTTTTTCTTTTTCTTTTTTCCTTTATTTAAGAGATGGAAAATTTTGGAGATTGGAAGATAATGACGGAGCAGGAAAGAATAAGAGTACGTAGCTTTTTGGCTGATTATTGGCTCTCTCTCCTTTTCTTTTTTATCCTTTTTTTTTTTTTTTCATTATATTCTCAAAATCCTTTTTACTAAAATAAAAGTCAAGATTTTAATCTTTTAAAAAAAAAAATTATTATAATTTGGTTAAGATTAGACTAAATTATAATATTTCTCTGAGTTCTCTTATAAGTGAAGAGAAGACGTATGACAATTTATACGAATTTGATTTTTTTATTTAACAAAGTTTTTAAAAATGTATTTGAAAGGATTTTAATAATATTAAAAATGATTTTTAACCAAATATGAAAGAAAGTGCTTGTATTATCACTCAAAAATTTCACTTAAAAAATACAGATTGATCTTACAATTTTCTCTTATAATCCTAACATAACAGTAGAGTTGACACTACCAAGTCAACTGACCACTTTAACTAAATATGAACGATCATTCCTTAAATAATGAACAATTGTTTCTTATAAACGAACGATTGTTCATTCATAAAAAACCGTTCCTTATGAAGAAACAATAATTTCTTATGAATGAACTGTTATTCTTTCAGAATGAATAGTCATTCCTTATGCAATGAAGATTGGTTCACAATTCAATCTTACAAACTTTTTCTTATAATCCCGATGCGATAGCTCACAAATCCATTGTGAGCTACTACATTGGGATTATTAGAAAAAATTTATGAGATTTGATTGTGAGTGCAGTATTACCCTTCCTTATGAAATGACAATTATTTATCCCTAAGAAACGACCATTTGTGTTTAGTCAAAGTTATTAAGTGTCTTAGGTATGTTGTGTTGGGAGTTGACATGATAATTATTAACTCAATTGTTATATTAGGGTTTATAAGAGAAAGTTATAAGATTGGATCGTATACTTAATATTATTTATTTTCACTCATTTACTTTCTAATTTTACACATAATATAAAATGATAAACAAACCGGATTTAATTTAATGCCATTAAATGAGAGTACCTTAAGCCAAAAACGACAAAGAGAGGTAGAGGTAAAAATGTAAATTAATAAATTTAGAAAGAAATACGAAGGTGATGCTTATTAGTTGAAAAGGACATGAAATGTTTTTGTTTTTACGGATGAGATTGAGGTCAGCCTTTGGCGTAGATTACAATGATCTTCTCATACTTTTGACTCTAACTCCAAATATTGTCACTTATTATCTCTCATTCTAATTCTATATAAAGGATTTTCATTTTATAGTAACAATATTATTATTATTATTATTATTTTTTGTAATCGGTGATATTTAGACTAACTTATATATACCTTAATTATTCTCTCGATCTCGAATAAAACTTCTAAACAAGGTAAACTATAAAGTTCGTGATCAATAATATTAACAATCGTTATTATAATTTGAATATAAAACCACATAAGAACAAACCACTTGACCCCAAACGTTCATTATTCGGTTGATCTATTGTTAGTTATGTTTTTATTATTACATTTTAAGTGATTTAAATTGTAAATAATTGTAAATCAGGTGGTGAGTTGTTGTAATGGTAATAATTTCTTGGTCCAAAGGATCTGAGTCAATAAAAAAGATCAAGCTTTAAATGTCACATATTTTCTGGAAGATGACAATCAATCCCCACCAACAAAACATTTAACTTAAGATGCATTTATTAGTCAAGCTATGATGCTATTAATAACACGTTGATGTAACATCTTGTATTAGAATTTAGAACCATATGATAACCGTACATTATCATTATCATTATCATTTTCATCATGGTAATAGTACACCTCAAATTAAAGGCTACAATATCTTCAACATTTATTCGAGTGAGCCTATTGTTAATTTCTTAACAGTGATCCAACTAATAAAATGCTTCAATAAACCCCAAGAAAGTCCAAAATGTCAAAGTTGAAAGTTTATTCNTGTAAATCAGGTGGTGAGTTGTTGTAATGGTAATAATTACTTGGTCCAAAGGATCTGAGTCAATAAAAAAGATCAAGCTTTAAATGTCACATATTTTCTGGAAGATGACAATCAATCCCCACCAACAAAACATTTAAATCAAGATACATTTATTAGTCAAGCTATGATGCTATTAATAACACGTTGATGTAACATCTTGTATTAGAATTTAGAACCATATGATAACCGTACATTATCATTATCATTTTCATCATGGTAATAGTACACCTCAAATTAGAGGCTACAACATCTTCAACAGTTATTCGAGTGAGCATATTGTTAATTTCTTAACAGTGATCCAACTAATAAAATGCTTCAATAAACCCCAAGAAAGTCCAAAATGTCAAAGTTGAAAGTTTATTCATTAATCCCCACAATTCAAGAAATATCAATAATTATATTTTATTAAAAAGAAAAAGAAGCAAGAAGAAGATATGAACATGTATTTTAAAAAACCATCACTGAGTGGCTCAACATTCAACCGAAACTTTTGGGTTTATTATTCAAGAGTTCAACCCACTAAGATTGCTCATAAGGGTGATCACTGAGAGAATTTATTTGGCTGTCAACTTCAGGGTCTAAGGCTCCGGGGGATTAGTTGATGAATAAAAATAAGCTAACAAAGACTTTTCACTAACTTCACTCACAAACGTGAAGTGACAGCTATCTTACATTTGATTAGGTGAGACTCATTGTTGAATAGACGTTACCCATTGTGAACTGACCAATTACGATCTGACATATTACATTTGTGAAAGAAAATTAGTGATAAATATTTGTATACTGAGCTAAGATGCGTGCAAACTGGCTTAACAACATGGTCAAATAAAATAAAAAAAAACATGTATTCTAAAGTCTCTTAGTCTTGAGACCACAACCACCGTCCAACAGGAAAAAAAAAATCACAGTGTAGGTCAAGTTTTAACCGTTACCTTTTTACAATTATGTTTATTAATTCAAAATCCGGTTCCAAATTCAAAATATTGTTCCGTTACCAAATTGCCCCAACCTTCCCTCCCCTTTTCCATCTCCAAGACCTTCAGCATATAACTAGGGTTTCACTCCCATAACCATTTAAACTCTGCAATCAAAATTCAAAACCCCACAATTTCTCCTGATTTTACATTTCATCGTAAGCTCTCGAAATGAACTATAACACCACTTCAAAATCATCTGATCATTTTCAATCCATGTTAAAAGAATCAGTCGATCGATTTTTATACGAATACCGCAAAGGCGTCACCGATTTTTCTAATTTTACCATGATTTTCTCTCGTTTACTTCAAAATTTACCCGATCCCTCACTCGAATATGTTTGGTTTTACTCTGCACTAACTTTCTACACCACCAAATTTACAGCTATGCCCTCTTCAAAACACGTTTTAGCTGCCAAAGACTTGTTTCAGTTGCTAGTTTCTTGTTCCAGTTCATGTAATGTAGTTAAAAGAGTTGCGATTCTAGGTCCAGTTATTTACGAGTTGTACCACTCAGTGACTGATAAAAAAGATTCGAAGAGAGATGTTGAGAGTTTGTTAGAAGGAATAGCTAGTTACATTAGTATTTGTTGTGGCACCGAGTCCGAGCAAGATGATAGAATGGAGTGTTTGAACTTGAATTCTTGTTTTCTGGATTTGGTACATGTGTGGGTTGTTGATCGAGTTGGAGAGAATTGTGAGTTTGGGGACTTGAAGGTCTTTTTACCAATTGTGGGCAATAAAGTTCGTGATGGTGTTGGTGTGGGCTGTAGGGTTGGGTACTTGGCTGGGATTGTGATGTGTGAAGCCTTTTTGTTAAGGTTATGCTTGAAGTTTGGAGTGACAACCTCGAGGGATGAATGGGAGAAAGACTTGCGTGATTGTGCCCTACAAATGATAACTGGGTTTCGAAGTTTCTGCTTTTTTGGTGAGCAGATTTTTGAGCTATTTTTTTTTTCTTAACTTCCTATTTATTTGTTTCGGGTTAATTGGAAATTCTAAAATTTATTCTTAGTCATTGAAGTTTGAAGTAAACTTTACTACTTAAACCTTGTATTTATTACGGACTTTATCACAAATTAATTTTGAAGTAACCTCTAAAAGCACATATTTGGGATGACCGGTATTTTCTGAAGTTATAGTTTCTTTCAAATAATGCTAGTTAGATTAATGCCTTTGTTGTTGTTATTTGTTCATTTGATTTTACTGATGTTTTTCGTTAATAAATTATTCTGGGTGTGTGTCAGATATCCTTCTCGGGATGCTGCTGGAGCCAGTTCTGCCTGTCACCTCCCTGCTGGTTAGTATGCACCCTCTTGCTTTAATTTACTTTCTTCAAAGTTTACTTGTTATATAAAATAATTAGGCTGAGTTAAATCTTTCAGTCCTCCGAGAACAGAAGTGGTAGAGAGTACAATGGATATTAGAAACTAATACTAGAATTATAAATAAAATAAAAAACAGTTTGCCTTCTTAGACGATATAAGCCTTATGTAAGATGTAATTGCACACTTGCTGGTGTACACTTTGTAATGCATCATAAGTTTGGGTATATGATGGTTATGGTTCAAAATGCATACTGTATACATTAGGTGACATTAATGGGGTGATACTGTATGCATCATAAGTTTGGGTATATATATATAGCGTGAGTTTGATCCCTAGAACCGATCAGGCCAGATGCTGTCTGTGGGACAGTGACTTGATCAGTCTCTACACCTGTGTGAAGAGAATGGGCAGGGATCAAGTCAACCTCGGTCTGTTGCTCTGACCCTCTGGCAAAAATGTATTTCATGGAACACATAGAGCGAACAGGATTTCCTGTATTTTTGTAAAAACCTTAAAGTGAAAGGCAGTAGATAGAGCATTGGGCTACGCAAGCAGTAGTCTAGTCAGGGATCTTAAGTGGTGGATCAGAGATAGAAAAGTCCTGTTGCTGTTCTTTCGGGGTAGGCGAAGTACTCTCGGGAAGGCAGTAGTCAGTTTCAAGCCCTTAACCTCTTCAAAAGAGCTAAACTCTCTTGTTGTTTGATGGTCAGGTGGCTTTGCATAGAGAAAAAATCCCTGTTTGGTAGCGAGAGTAAAGTCAAGTCATATATATATATATATATCTGACATGTTGTTATTTTACTTCTCAGATCACTTGTCTCAAAGTGGTTCTATTCAGCCTTGTTTCCACTTTATATTGTTCATAAGGAATCAGGATTCATTTAGTCTCCCTAAGTAGTTGAAATAAGCCTCACCCAGTATATTTTCTGTTGCATTATTACATAGTGAAGTAGTTTTTTTCTCATCAATAGTCTATTAGTTTTTTATCTGCTGAGCAGTCTGAAGAATTTGATTGCTGTCAACCCCCTCCTGGTCCTTTTAGCTGTCAGTTGCAAAGTATTATTTAGTGGACAATCTATTGCTTGCCACCAATTAAGCCATACAATACGCATTTGATATTAAAAAATTATCATTTCGCCCACTCTAGTATCTTTTGTTGGCCCAGGTTTCAGAAGATGAAGTTCTTTTGCATCATGTTCTGTACGATGTTGTTGTAACTGCAGAGTATTCATTCCTCATTTCTCAAAGAGGGATTCAGTTACCTTGCAGAAACCTTAAAATTCTTGCTATGAGATGGTTGTTTGTTGTTGACAATGCATTACGGTCTGTGAGGTATGAGAATCTGAAGATTGTGGCTGCTATGCGACCGTTGCATCTTAGACCATCTCATCTGATAAATATCTAATTGGCGACAGGGAAAATGGTGACCAGGCCAAAGTCATTTCTTATATAAACGCTTTCTCCGAGTCTTACCTGCTCTCTCAATTGATCAAGTGGGTTACTAATCAAATTGGCATGGGGGAAAAAACCAGCAAACCAAATCTTTCCACTCCTGTCAATCTTATCAGTGAGTTACTCTGTTATCTTTACTGTGAGGTCATTTACTGTATTTGGCAGGGTTTCAGAACGACTTTACAATGTCTTCTTGGCTTTTGATTGTCATCACACCATGTAAACATAAGTGGTGTTAATCAGATTATCATTGATGAGGAGCGTGTAAATTACTTAAGAAGCATCCATATGCTTACTTGTCAAGCTGTTGCTGCTATTTGAATGTAGTTAGATAACATAAAAAATTGGACAAGTCACCTAATTGTTATTCTTTGCTGTTCTTCAAGAATAGTATCAAATAATTTATTTATTTATTTATTTTTTTGCTGTTTCCAGAGTGGCTGCTAGTTGTTGAGGAGCAAGGGATAGGAGTATTTGATTTTGACATCACCAAGATTTATGCCAAAACCGTAATTTTCAAGTCAACTGTAGAGTATGATCGCCCAGTAATTATGCCCAATGACAAGAGTTTGTTTGGAAGTCTCTTCTTGAACACTGATAATGAGAGGAGATGGCAAGATAAAGATGACAGTGACCTGGAGATGGTAGATTTTGTGGATACTGAGTTCTTGGCTGATCCTTGCATGATGAAATCAACAACTGATAGTACAAGGAAACGCAAAGAAGGGAGAAACATTGAAGGTGAAATACCAGTTAAGTTTGTCAAGTATAATTTTCATGATAATTCTGTGAGTGAGAAGTTTTCTCCTTTGGGAAACGAAGATGGGGTGAGTAGCGGAAGTGAAGTTGATAATCCAATCTCGGACGAAGATATGGAAGACATGAAGCATTAAAGCTGACACAATTTGTTGACTCTGGACAGGCAAACCATTTTTCTGGAGACATCAGAATTCAGACATACCTCCTTCTATTAATAAGGACTAGTTATACTGTGGTGGATCTCTACTATCTACTGGTAAAGAACCGGGAAGGAATTTTCATCAGTGCAGCCTTACAGGTTACGGGTTATGCTATCCTCCTCTCTGGTACAATCAGGAGATAAAGACTTAAGAAATCAAGTTGTGTGTGGAACATGTTTACTTTGTAGCTCAAATAGATCTAACGAAAAGGACGACTAGCCCATCTTCTTCCGGTTATCAGACACGTATAGTATGAGTACCTGTACCTAGATGATTGTCATCTCGGATGTATGAAATGTTTATGTTATAGCTTATAAAGTCTCTCTTAAGCATCTATTCATCTGTTTCCTAAATCATCCTACCTATGAGCAAGTAGAGAATTTCTTTCTTCAGTTTTCATCTGTCCTGAGGAGTAGTTGAGCTTGAAATGGGGAGGAAATTTAGCTGTCCGGCCATCCCAAGTTCCCATTTAACAAAATGGCCATGAAAATCTTTTTGATTTTTTTTTTGGTTAAAAAATATGACGTGACATACTTAAGTGTAATTAAAGCAGCAAAAAGGATTAGGGTGAAAAGATTTAAACATTTGTGGGTTAGAGTATAATAAAGAGAAGTTGATTTAAAATTTGAAAGGCATAACACATTTCTCTCAGGTTCTTTCTCTCTCTCGTTTTTTCTTTCAATTTTCTGTAATTTTTCAATTTCTTTGCTCTTTGCATTTTTTTCATTCCTTGCTATTCCCGATTAAGTTATAATGGCTGAGTCCTTAAAGAAACAGAAAAAAACTCATATACTCCCCAAATTATAGGCACGATTGGGTCTACCAAAAATGAAGAAGAAGAAGTTGTAGTGGAGTAACTTCCGATGACTAAAGTTGCTCCACTAAGAGAGGAGACGGCGTCGACGGAAGACATTCTATTGGCGAAACAAGGGAGGGCAAGAGTTGAAATTGAAATTGAAGAGGAGGATGCCGACGCAAATTCCAAGCGTCGGACATGATCGCTTAAGCGGCCAAGATTAAAGCAAAGGATCGCTTAAGCGATCTAAAATCGCTTAAACGACTAAGATTAAAAGCAAATGATCGCTTAAGCGATCTGGTATATGACAGAAGATAGCTTAAGCGATCTGGTATAAGCGATCATGCATCTGGGCAGAAGTTGATTCTGCCTCGGATACGATCGCTTAAAGCAACCAACGTTAAAAGCAAAGGATCGCTTAAGCGATCATGCGTTTGGGCACTTATTTATTGTCTTGTTCATGATCGCTTAAGCGACCGACAATAAAAACGAAGAATCGCTTAAGCGATACTTAAGCAATCCTGCGTCTGGACACTTATTTATTGTCTTGTTCATAATCGTTTAAGCGACCAATAGTAAAAGCGAAGAATCGCTTAAGCGATATACTTAATCGCTTGAGCGATTGTGCATCTAGGCAGAATAAACTTCTGCCTCGGACATGATCGCTTAAGCGATTTGTAATCGCTTAAGCGACCAAGGTTAAAAGCAAAGGATCGCTTAAGCGATAGAATAAATCGCTTAAGCAATTGTGTATCAGGGCACTTATTGATTCTGTCTTGTTCGTGATCGCTTAAGCGACCAAGTGTAAAAACATAGAATCGCTTAAGCGATAATATAAATATAACTAGATCTCTTAAGCGACTAAGTCTAAATACACAGGATCGCGTAAGCGAGAAATGAAATCTCTTAAGCGATTCAGTGTATTTGGATTATTTTTATTGTATTTCACTAGATTGATTAAGCGATTAACGCTATCTTAGACATATAAGGTGTACGATTCATTCAGTGGACCATGACTATTATATATTTAATTAATTAGTTCTTTTACTGTTATATTAAACATTTATGTATATAATATTACATCTATATTAAACATATCAGGTGTATGATTCTTTCAGTGGACCAGACCGACCGTTATTATATTTTAATTAAATTAGTTCTTTTATGGCTATATTAAACATATATGGTGTAAAATTTACGTCTATATTAAACATATCAGGTGTACGATTCGTTCAGTGGACCATGACCGTTATTTATTTTAATTAAATTAGTTCTTTTACGGCTATATTAACATATATGGTTTAGAATGTTTACATCTATATTAAACATATCAGGTGTACGATTCGTTCAGTGGACCATGACTGTTATTATATTTTAATTAAATTAGTTCTTTTACGGTTATATTAAATACATATGTGTAGAATGTTTACGTCTAATTAAACATATCAGATGTACGATTCGTTCAATGGACTATGACCGTTATATTTTAATTAAATTATTCTTTTACGACTATATTAACAATATGGTGTAGAATGTTTATGTCTATATTAAACATATCAAGTGTATGATTCATTCAGTGAACCTAACCAATATTATATTTTAATTAAATTAGTTATTTTACGGCTATATTAAACATATATAGTGTATAATGTTTATGTCTATATTAAACATATCAGATATACGATTCGTTCAGTAGACCATGACCGTTATTATATTTAATTAATTAGTTCTTTTACGGCTATATTAAACATATATGGTATAGAAGTTTTAGTCTATATTAAACATATCAGGTGTCGGTTGGTTCAGTAGACCATGACGTTATTATATTTTAATTAAATTAGTTCTTTACTATTATATTAAACATATATAATATAGAATGTTTACATCTATATTAAACATATCAGGTGTACGATTCATTCAGTGGACCATGACCGTTATTATATTTTAATTAAATTAGTTCTTTTATGGCTATATTAAACATATATGGTGTAGAATATTTACATCTATATTAAACATATCAGGTGTACGGTTTGTTCAGTGAACCATGACCGTTATATATTTTAATAAATTAGTTTTCTTTACGGCTATATTAAACATTATGATATAGAATGTTTACGTCTATATTAAACATTCAGGTGTACGATTCATTCAGTGGACCATGACCGTTATTATATTTTAATTAAATTAGTTCTTTTACGTCTATTAAACATATGTCCATAAACTGGAAAATAATATGAAGTAAATTACCCTTAATCGCTTAAGCGATCTCGTCTATTAGCCTTGGTCTACAGAGTGCAGAGCAGATGGTTGCAAAATTCAATTTTATATCAATATTATATTTTTTTATATTACTTTCTTGCCAAGAACTACAAAAAATAATAGAATAACAATAGATTTTCAGTTTTATGTTATGGTGCTGATTGACAAAGACCGAAATGTTCTTTTCACATTCTATTGAAATGAAAAAGTAATTAATAAAAAAGACTAAATATAAATAAACATTATGGAATATAATTCTCACCGAAGTATATTGCTTACTACATCGCTTAAGCAATCCAGTATATCGCTTAAGTGATCTAGTACAATAAGTCTGATCGCTTAAGCGTACTGCCATATACCAGACTTATACTAGTCGCTTAAGCGATCTGGTACCATATCCAGACTTATACCAGATCCTAAGCGATCTTCTGTCATATACCAGATCGCTTAAGCGATCCATAAGATCCAAACACATTTCAACCATCTCCACCTACAATCTGCCATCATACCCAAAACACATACCCATCAAATTTTCAACAAATTTCACCATTTCAGCTTGCATTACATCAAACACAACCTAACAACCTAAACAACTAAATCAAAATCATAACCCAAACCCCATCCATTATTAAATCTTTGTAATCTAAATAAAAAATGTAAGAGGAGATACACATATTTACACGAAATGTCAGGAGGAGAGAGGGGGATCTTTGGTGGAGAAGATTTAATGGTGGAGGAAGAAGAAATTGTTAATGGCGGAAGAAGAAGAAAGTGTTAATGGCGGAGGAACAAGAATATATAGAATGAGGAAGAAGAAGATGTAGAGGAAGGAGAAGAAAAGATGTAGATGAAGAAGAAGATGCAAACAAAGAGGAAGAATGTAGACGAAGCTAAAGAAACCAACCAAGGTGGAATGCGTAATGGCGGGAGGAAAAAGAAGGTGTTTGGTTTGTTTGCAAGAATTCGGGTTTTTGGGAATATAGTATTATTTTAAAAGATTGCTAATACTTCATTAATCCTAATTAAGCACTAATCAAGTTTAATTACCCTTAATCAATATATGGCTATCTAGTAAAACTTTAAAACTTGATAGCCTTTAATTAAATTTAACTTGAAATGTTGTTTTAATAAACTGCCCTGAATTGGGCCGTAATTTGAATATATACATCAAATCAATAGCATCATATAAAGTTTGACAATAAATCTAAAGCTATAGCTATTACACGTTCAATGGTTATATGTAAAAATTTTAATTTTATAAAATGAAAGGGATCAGATCATCACTAAGTATAAGCTATGTATCTTTTAATATTGTAAAGTTTTTTTATTTTAATCTGAGGGGTGTCCTAGATCATTTCGCGTAACTAATTAATCTCTTTGGTCTGAAACTGCCGACTAGTAAGACTAAGAGCGCAATGATCACCTTTATTAATCGACTTGAATTTAAGAGCTTATAAACCCTTTTTTTCTTTTTACTATCAACCCACCAGTGATGGTTTAATATTGTATATGTATTTAGGCTTGCAAAGAAGAATGAAAATTGGAGAAAATGATCATCCTCCATCCCAAACTGAAATTAATAAAATTACTTAATAAACCCCTTTCTGAGGTGCTGAATATTTGCTTGAGGAAACCGGGTTGGGCCGTCTCAGTCAAGCGGCCCATCACAAAAATATATTTTATTTATGTGTATGTTTCTTTTCTTTTTTAATCATTTCAATTTAAATACCACGTTTTAAAAAATTAGAAAATGGTTTTCAAAAATGTTTTGGGCTTAGATAATACTATGGTTTGAAGGGGTTTTCTTGAAAAGGCTGTTTAATGGCTTTAATGGAATAATATAATTTAATCACCCACTAGAATTGAAAAATCAATGGCTGAGATAATACAGTTGACCGACAGGGATAACAAATAAGTTTAGTAATTATAGTTACAACAAAAAAAAAAAAAAAATATTACTTAAAATGGGTTTTGATAATGTTGGACTTTGTTGTTGTGTGAACACTGAAGTTGTCACGTGTAATATATGGTGTAAATTCCAATGAAATTGAATGATTGGGAGCTCCACCATGTTCTAAAATCACTACTCCATTTATGTAAAAGGAAAGTTCATGCATTGCAATATCTTATATTTATTTTACGACCAACCAAATATTTCTCCCCAACAAAAGCAAGCTTTAAATTAAGTGCCAAATGTCACGTAGCCAGGCTCTCGTGAAGCCAATTACTTTGACGTGCAGGCCACGACAACTTTAAT